ATGACCTCATTAGCACTCAGTGCGGCTGTGGCTTCCTTCAAAAGACCACCTGCTGTCTGCACAGAGGACAGCTTTGCCCCAAGGCCTGTCCTGAGTAATGCAGATGACACAGGCAAGATGTAATGCTTACATTTTATTTTCCATTAGCAAAATTATTTCATTTCATTGCCATCAGATGGAAATGGCTTTCCATAAAGTCGACCTGGTTATGGTGATTTTTAATCTCTTAGTGTGAATATAAAAAACCCTCAAACTCATTGCTTCCCAGTCAAAACTCACTCAGAGCTGAACCTCCAGCAGTCATAGGGTGTAAATTGCATAAGAGGAGATTACCCACATTTCTTCACTGAGTGGCTGGTGGATTTGACTTGCCAGAGAGATGCTGCTACATGTTAGGAGCACAAGTCCCTGTGCACCACCCCGTCAGCTTGGCTTCACAGGGCTTTACTGCAGAGAGAAACTCACAACTGCTGTTAAGTTTCTCCATGGCTGGAGAAGTGGAGGGAGATTTAGTTAATCTGGTAATTTCAAAAGCTGCCATAATCTGTTGAGTAAACATTTTACCTTTCAAACACTTATTTTAAGACCAGAAATTTATTTACTTTCTTTCCTACTAGAACTCAAACCATGTCCTTGATAGGGAAGGTGGTATGGGAGAGATGGGCTGTGAAAGGTATGTGTAGGGCCTAGTCAGTAGGAAGCTGCACGTCCAACCCCAAAGCTGGTTTGGTGGTTTGAAACTACCAGCTGTTCCACAGGAGAGATGAGCAGTAACCTTCTGTGTTATTTATAACCTCTGAAAAGCCACTGCAAGGTCAGCTATGAGTTGGTTTTGACTTGACATCAGTGCTATAAAAAATAAACTTAGTAGGTACTCCCTTAAGCAACACATACACCGAGGCACCTTATAAACTCAGAGACTCTTATCTAGACCGTTGGCACAACGGTGAAATCCTGCTCAAGGTTAGGCTTCTTTTCTCTTTTCCACCGTCTAGTCCTGTGAGCAGGGTCTCGAAGAGATTCGTCATAACCAAGTTTACAAGTCATATCCTAATTGTTTTGTTGTTTTTTTAAAAAAACATTGTGTTTTTGGTAAAAGTGTTACACAGATAATTGGGTTCTCATTCAATAACTTGTATGCATGTTATTCAGTGATTTTGGTTCTGCTTTTCTGAATGTGTCAGCAGTCTCATTATTTGCATTCTGGTTGTTCTGCATCTGTTAATCTAGCTTCCCTGTCCACCCATATTGTTTCATGGTAAATATTGACCAGTGGGTGAACTTCCAGGAGTGGTTTTAATTCCAAGGTTTAAGGATGTCCCAGAATGGTATCTCTGGTGGCCTACTCTGGTGGCTTGGTAGTAAGGAATTGTGCCACCAACACAAAGATACCTGGCTCCAATTCACCAGCTGGAGAAAGATGAGCAATTTACTTTCTCTGCAAACCTGTTTTAGGGCCAGCTGACTCGATGGTACAGAACAACAGCAGCAGACAGCAGGAAGCTGTGTTAGGTGGCACCTCTCTAGCAGTGTGATGAGGGAAAGGCCCTCAGTCTCTCCCGTGTGCAGTTTACAGCTACTGGGAACCCTCTCTGGGGTGGGCTGTGAGGCATTTCTAGTCAATGGCAAGGAGGTTGAGAATTTTCTAGTCTTCTGCATGTGGCTATTTTTAGGAATTTGAGGTTTATTCAACGTTTGCTTCCCATCCTCTCTGGGACATCTCTCTTTGGCCTCATTGGAATAAATTTTTAGGGTTAAATAAATTTCCATTTTCAAGTTGTCTCTCTTGATAGTTCTCATCATTGAACATTTCCCTATGTACCTAGCTAAAATAGAATTATTATTGGCCCACCTTTTTTTTTTCAAATGCTAACGTCACTCAGACCTAACTTCATTCATGTCTCACATTTCCCCCCCTTAACACTAAGCATTCATTTTCTTCCAGCTTCCTCATGTCTTGGAAGCTTAAGTAAAAATAATGATCCATACCAGTTTTTTCTTTTCTTGATCTACATAAAGAAAACAAAGATTCTCACCACTGGGCCAGTTGGCAGCATCATGATAGACAGAGAAGAGATTGAGATTGTTAACAGCTTCAGCTTGCTTGGCTCCACAGTCAACACTCTTGGTACAAGCATTCAGGGAATCAGAATTGTATGGGGAAAATTTGCTGTGAGAGACCTCTCCAGAGTACTGAAGAACAATAATGTCAGTCTAGAGATTTAAGGTGCACCTGATCCAGCCTATGGTCTTTGCAATTACTTGCTATGCATCAGAGAGCTGGACAATGAGAGAATTGAATAGAACCTGGACCACCAGGAGAACAAACAGGTCTGTCCAGGAGAAGGTGAAATACAGTTTCTTCTTGGAGGCAAGGATTTTGCAGCTCCATCACATATACTTTGGACTTGTTGCCAGGAAAGATGGAGGGACAGGGCAGGAAAGGAAGACTCTGGATGTGCTGGATTGACTCAGTGACTGGGGTATCAGGGGTAGATGTGTCAGAGATAGTGAGATTGGCCTAAGATAGAGCAGGGTTCAGAACTGTTGTGCATAGGGTCACTGTGAGCCACCAGCGACCCAGCAACACTTCGCAAAGCACCCACCAGGTTTAGAGAGTGTTCTTGTGGCCTAGTGGTCAGGAGCTGCACTGCCGGCCCAAAGGCACCTGTATTCACCAGGTGCTCTGTGGGGAAAAGATGTCCCCTCCCACATCATTTGCAGCTTCTAAAAAACCACTGAAGGGCCAGCTAAGAATTGGTTTTGACTCAGTGGCACCTAACAACCACCATTTTAAAACACTGCTCTTTTCACGCCCTAAACTGTGGAGTCTCGCTACAGAAAAGTGGGCGTGCGCACGAGTGTATAATTTATCTTAATTTGGGGGGCACTTGGCGCTCATTCTCGATCTCTGTCAAGTCTGGACAGTGATTCAGGAATGTTGGTGCTGGACTCGACCTCATTGCCATCGAGTCAAAGCTGACTCCTAGTTGACTGCTGCTGACCCTCCAGCAGTTTTCCATGGGCTGTAAAGTCACACAGGCGAAGTTTGCCCTTCTTTCTCCCTCGAAGAAATGGATTCCAACTGCCGTGGAAGCACTGTCTGCCGGTTGGCAGGGCAGCTCCCTCCAGGCAGCATCATCAGAGCATCCTAACTACTCATAAAGTAGGACATGTTCTAAAGGCCTGACCTGAGTACCCTCCTCTTAATCGCAATCATATGTTAAGGTGTTTGGAGAATCCACTTTCAGTGTAGTAATTCATTTAATTGACTTTTCCTGACTCATCAGACACATTATTCCCTTCAGAATAAAGTGCTCATGGAATTTTAAAACTTATCCACCCAGTCCACGCTCCGCTGGCTTCTGTGTTGGGCAAAGAGCCTTGTTTGCTTGATTTAACAGTGACACAAGCCTCAGAATCTCTTTGATCACTAGTTCCAATGCATTTTTTTTTTACAAAAAAAACCCTATTTATTTTGCAGAATTTGTGACCTCTGAACATTTGAAAAATTACAAACAGGGAGGGGGAGGCAGAATATGTTAAGGTTTTCGAATGTTCCTTTTAACCAGGTATTTTTTCTTCTAATTAAAATAAAATTCTTTTTATTGGTTTGCTTACAAAGTTCGTATACATTGTACTTCACTATTCCTCATTCATATTGTATTTCCTACAATCATTCTCATGCATTATGTTTTATAAAACTAATCACTATTGGACCTTGTCCACCATTACCCTGGCTTTTCATCCAGATTCTTCCCATTTCCTTTCTTTCCTTCCACCCACCAAACTGTGCAGCCCTGTGGTTTCGCCTCTATCCTCACCCCTCCGCTCCCACTCCTCCCCCCCTTGGGTTCCCACACATGTTTTACTAGTTATCCTTCTATTTTTACAATAATGGTGTTATGCAGTGTTTGTCCTTATGAGACTGAATTAGTTCACTCAGCATAAGGCTCTCCAGTCTTTCCCAAGTTATGTAGTATTTTTTGAAATTGTTGCTCCTGAGTGCTGCATAGTATTTCATTAATTTGATGAACTTTTCAAGGTCTTGCTCACTGCGGGGACTTGCTGCCCTTTAACCTTGCCGATCCCCGTTTGTGTGTCACTGTACCTGAATTGTCTCTGTCCCCCTTCAGTTGTGCCGTCCCACCCTGCCCGCGAGCACACACTCTGCTCTGCATGTTGTCAGGAGGGGTCTGTTCTTAGGAACCAGACATCACGCAGGGAAGGATGCGGGTCTTAGAAAGAGAAGAAGACTCCCAACAAGATGGACTAACACAGAAACTGGAACTATGGGCTCAAGCTTGACAGAGATGATAAGGATGGCTCAGGATAGGGCAGGGTTCAGATCTGTTGGTTATAGGGTAGCCATGCTTTGTTATTTTTGTTGTATACCACTGAGTCGGAACAAAGCCAGAGCCAACCCTCCAGTGAATTTCCAGAGGCAGTACATTTGATCTGTGTACATTTGGGTTGGCAGCACAGTTTTTCACTATTAAGCCACCAGAGCTCCCTAGGGTCACAAGGTATCATAGTCAACTCAGTGGCACTTAACAACAACCCTGTGTGGGGACGCTGTATGAGCATGGTGCGTTACTGTGTCGTGTCAGCTGGCATTTAGACACTAATAAGGATCTTTAAGGCAGGAGATAGGTTTATGCTGGAGAAGTGACTGCCCCCAGGAAGTGGCCCTGGTGGTTTCCCATTGCTGTGGGTATGCCTCAGCTCCTTAGCACTCACTGAGCTTCTGCTTGGAACTGGCAATGATTCTGTGATCAGGTTCTGACATACTGGGGAGAGCGGTGGATTTAATAGGAAGCAGTGGGCTTCCCTGAGGTATGGCACAGCAGTTGCGTTTCGCTGCATGGTCTTTATGCCCATGCCTTCACGTTATCTTCATCCCGAGTCTCACAGCTCACCTGGCTGGGCTGGGGGGGAGGGGACGGGGATGGTGGTGACACTGTGTGTCCTCTTCTCTCATGGAACTGCTTTCTCCCCAGGTTATGGCCATGCGGTCCCCTTGTCTGACGGGGGGAAGGCCTTCTGCATCATGTATTCAGTGATCGGCATCCCCTTCACGCTCCTGTTCCTGACGGCGGTGGTCCAGCGTGTCACCCTCCACATCACCCACAGGCCTGTCTCCTACATCCACACACGCTGGGGCTTCTCCAAGCATTCTGTGGCCCTGGTGCATGCTGCCGTCCTCGGCTTCTTCACTATATCCTTCTTCTTCATCATCCCTGCTGCCATCTTCTCCGTCCTGGAAAAGGACTGGAACTTCCTTGAATCCTTCTATTTCTGCTTTATTTCTCTGAGCACCATTGGCCTCGGGGACTACGTTCCGGGAGAAGACGACAATCAGAAGTTCAGAGCGCTGTATAAGTTCGGAATCACATGTGAGTACTGCAACCACAGGTCCATCCTCTGTGCTGTCCCTCTGTGCACAGCGTTCCTAAATGCCCTGCCTCCCTTTTCATTGATAAAATCCAGCAGCTGTCCAGTCTCCTGAGGTGTGACAATCGCTTATGTGTGAGAGTAGATTTGGGGTTTGCAGTTGTTGATCGTTCAGGAAGAGATTGCCAGGGCATTCTGATAGGTGAGTCCAGACTTTCAGGTTTTTGCTGAGGGTACAAGTTGTTGTTATTGCTAGGTGTCATCCACTCTGCCACAATTCCTAACGAGCCTGTGAACCACAGGTCAGGGCTTGCCCCACTGCCACCTCTCTGACATGCTGCAGACACTACTGCAATCACTGTGTCAGTTTATCTTGTTGAGGGTCTTCCTCTCTTTCTCTGACCATCCCGCTTTCCCAGCATGGTGCCGCTTTCTAAAGACTGCTCCTTCCAGACAACATGCCCAGAATAAATATGTGTACTTTTGTTCTCTGTTTTAAAGCCTTCCCATAACTATTTCAGAGCAGCATAAATTTCATAAAAATACATAATCTCACTGTTGTTGTATATTATTGAGTCAAACCGACCCATAACTGACCCTCCAGGTACCTCAAAGATAATGAATCTCATGGGAGGAGATTGTCCAGCGTTCTCTCACAAAGAAGCTGGTAGGTTTGAACCATGTGCCCTTGGGATTAGAGCACAGATTCCTACAAAAAAAAATGCAATACAGTGTGTATTGACTGCCAGTTTTTAATAAAAACAAAGTTATGAAGAAAAACAAAGCTTGAGAAAACTTCATAGTTAGCCTATCTTACTGATTATGTTCTTTAAATTGCCAGGGGAAACAATTCTTGTCTGTCTAGCTGGTTCTTTGGTGATCTAGTGGTAAGGAATTGCACTGCCAATCCAGGAGACAGTTCAAATCCATCAACTGCTCAGTGGGAGAAAGATGGGCAGTCTCCCCTTAGCAGTTCCTAGCCTCTGAAAACTTGCAGGAGGGTGAACTGTGGGTCACTTCTGACTTGATAGTATTGAACAATAGCAGAATAGGTTAACTGCTTTCTGAATTTCATATGTGGAAAATAAGCTTTAAAATTTAGCAGGCCAGCATTTTGTCCTTTTTAAACATTTTTTCCTGTTTTAAATTTAATATCATAGGAAACTTGGAACACTGATTCATTTTTAAAAAACTATTTGTTATGTACCTTTTGGAGACGCACAGAATCTCATCTGAGATGTGCATCCACTTTGTTTCTGCCTCCTACAGAAGTTGTCTCTACTAGTCCATGTCGTTCTGATTCTGAGAAGCTGAGCAGCCCCCGAGACAGGCAGGTATTCCACCTGCTCCAGCCTTGCAGTATTCACCCCACAAATTGATTGAATTAATCAAGGAATTATTTGAATGCTATGTATTTAATTTTTCTGTAAAGGTGGGTTTACATAAAACTAAATCTTCATGAGCCTTCAGTGTTCCTGGCTACAATATGCGTTCAATGACCATCTCCCTCATGACTACAGAAATGAAAATGTGTGTCTTCTGGTTTCCATGATTATTGTTACCACTGAAAGGCCCACACACTCCCTTGTTTTGTCGTTATACCAAATCCTGCCATGCCTCTTTTGATGTGTAGAGGCTGCTTGTCAGTCTGAGGGTCTTAGCAGCAACACTGTAGATGAATCTCTTTCTCTGGTTACATTTTTCCTACTTGGACAGTTTACAGGAGGTGGCATTGCTGGCCCAAAGGAACCACGCCCTCCCGTGACTCACAGGAAGTGGGGCCCCAGTGCTTCCCCCCTGGCAGGCTCCCGTAGCTGCCACCTGTGTCACGGGTGTAACTGTTTGCTTTCCATGTGTATAACTCTGGGCTGGGAGGCCAGCAGCACTGTACAGCTATCTGAGAATTTGATATTACATTATATGTTACCTTACTTTTCTTTCATGGAATAGGTACAGTGTTACCTCCTTATTTATGTTTTTCTTTTTTTAATTTCTTAGACCTGAGATGCTTGCTTCTTTAATATCATCCCAATGACGGGTCCAGCTTTCCCAGTTCAAGGATTTTCTGAGCTCTTACACAAACATTCTCCAACAGGGATATGCCATTGGGATTGCTAGCTTCCCACTACCCCCCATGTTAGAGTTACTGTTTCCAGTTGGTTGTAGTTCTTTCTATAATAGATACTTTTTAAAAAATAGTTTTATTAATTTTCATAAAGCAATACCTTTATAGTATGTTTCATTTATGTGCATTGTGTGCTGCATAGTATACTTTTTAAGGTAAATCCCTTTATTAAAAATGTTGGAACTAATGTAAAATTAGTAAGCTCTGTTTGCCTAGTGGGTGTGGAGTTTCACTACCAACTCAGAGGCAGGCAGTATGAATTCACCAACAGGAGAAAAATGGTCAGTCTTCTTTCATGTGATTTATAGCCCTGAAAAATCCCCTGGAAAGTTAGCAATGAGTCAGTATAGCTCAATGGCAATGAATTGCATTTCTTAAATGTAAAATTACCCTTGTATCAGCTCAGATCACAAAGAATTACCCTGATTTTAACTGTTACTGTTTGTCTTAAGAGTGAGAAGTCAGCAGACATGCCCTTTGCCCCCCTGAGATGTCCACATGCCAGAAAAGTGGCTGTCTTGTTATGGAGGCTGTAGGTGTGCAGCTGGATATAGGGGAAGTGTCAACAGCTACACAAAGACCTGTTCAATACCCATGTCAATTCTTACAGGCATATTTCTGTAGTAGGACATAATTTCTTTAGTAACAAGATTTTTCTGTATTGGAATGCATTTTGCTAATATGAAGACTCTTGTAGTAGGAAGTACTTCTGTGGTAGGAGGTGCTCCTGTGGGCGGAGGCATTCCTGTGGTAGGAGGCACTCTGTGCTAGGAGCCATTCCTGTGGTAAGAGGGAGGCACTGTGTGATAAGAGGCACCGTGGGGTAGGAGACACCCTGTGGTAGGAGGCACCCTGTGTTATAGGCACTCTGTGGTAGGAGGGACTCTAGTAGGAGGTACTTTGTTGTTTGGAGGCATGGAGGCAATTGTGTGGTAGGAAGCACTCAGTGGTAGGGGACCCTTTATGATAGGACACACTCTTGTGGTAGGAAACATTCCTCTAGTAGGAGGCACTCCTTTGGTAGGAGGCCCTGTGTAGTCGGAAGTAGTCTATAGTAGGAGGCACTCCTGTGGTAGGAGGCACTTTTGAAGTGCCTTACGCAAGTACAAAGCCTCCTGTGTGCAAGTAACATTTACTTCAGTGGTAACTTCAGGTTTTCAAAGTGGACCAGCACTCTGCAGGGTTTTTGAACTATCATCAGGCCTTTCACCCAGGGTGCCTCCTGGTCGACTGGAACCTCTGATGTTTGGGTAAGCATCTGATCACACTGCCGTGAGCACCTCGTGGTACCCAGAAAAAGCCACTGAAATGTTGCCAGCTATTTGAAAGCAATTGATTTGGAAGTGATTGCAGAGGACCCCTGCATTAGATGGTCTTGGTAGCTGGATGAACCCAAAATGACTACTCAGAGGAAATCTGTAATCTTCAAACATTTACTGAGAAGTCTTCTTTATACCAGATAGTAGCTTATCTTCATTAGTGAGGATGTATGCTGCAAACTTGTTTAAAGGATTATCGCTATAGGAGCAGATTGACAGCCGCTTAGCAGGTTAGCTAGGGAGCAGTGAAGTTAGGTGAACATGGGAGAGACAACTCACAGGACGAGGGCAGAAGTGGGGACGAACCCAAAAGTGTGATTGTCATGAAATTGCCCACATGGAAACTGTTAAATTGCCCTTTTTTCCAAATACATTTTTAATAACAACAAAGCAATATATTCTTGTTTTAAAAGGAAATAACTTTTAAAAAAATATTTTTTTTTTGTATGTACTGTCAAATCTGACTGGTACAGGAGGAGATTGCCCCTCCTTCTCCAGCAGAGCATTTGGTGGATTCGAACCACGTACCTCTGGGCTTGCAGTGCAGGAAATCACTTTTTTAAAAAGCCATTGATGGATCAGTTTGGCGATTTATGTCTCTATCAGTGCTTCAGCTGTTATTTTTCCCTCTTCATAAAACTTGAGTCTGCAGTTGTGGGTAACCTTGTTCCTGAGAAGTTCTGTTGTTCCTTGCGGGTGTTTGGTGTTTGTGATCTGCATCCTGGTGAGTCTTTGTAGATGTCAGGAAGCCAGTGAGACATCCGTGCATCCATTTTTCTCGGTGTAGAAGGGTAGGGGGTCACTGGTGATGGGGTTTGTGGGGACGAGGGCCTGCTGAGACACTGTCCCCCTTTTCACACAGGCTACTTGATGTTCGGCCTGGTCGCCATGCTGGTGGCCCTGGAGACCTTCTGTGACCTGCGTGAGCTGAAGAATTTCCGGAAGCTGTTCTACGTGAAGAAGTTCAGTGACGAGGACCAGCTGCACATCTTGGAGCATGACCAGCTCTCCTTCTCCTCCATCTCAGACCAAGCAGCTGGCCTCAAAGAGGACCAGAAGCAGAACGAGCCCTTTGTGGCCACCCAGTCACCAGCCCTCATGGACACCTCTGCTAACAACTAACAGGGGCTTTGTTCCCTGATTCTAGAGGATTGGTGTCAGGGCAGTCTGCTGTAGGCTCCACTGTCTTTTTAATGAGCCTGCAAAAGCCATCATGATGCTATTTTAATAAATCTCTACTGTTTGCAGTATTTAAAGCAAAAAGAAATGCAAACAAACTGGAATGAAGGGAAGTTTCACCTGGAAACATATAATATCTGAGGAAATAGACATACCTGCCATTCCTTGTGACTGAAGGTTCTAGATGTGACCAAAGGCAATGAATGCTGGGAGCAGTTCTGTGGCTAGGTGCAGGTTTTATACTTTTAATTGGGGACGTTGGGGTTTGCCTTGAAATAATTTAGCTTTGGCTAAATAACAGAATTTCTATTTAAAAAAGCAAAAAGAGACACAGGAGCAAATTTCTGTGTATGGTGTGCATGTTACTATCCAAATTGATTATTTTTGTGGACTCTAAGTTATAGTTTACTATTTATAATGAGTAGATAACCATTCTGTGTGTACATACAAAGTATAAATATGTTTATACCTTGTACATATGTTTTAGGTCACCAGATCTACAAGTATTTCTTAACCCTAGATTGAAGATACATTGTCTATTGATTTTGCCTTATACTAAAGAAATCCAGATTTATGGCAATAAAATCAGGAGAATAATGTACTTAGAGTGAATAACTGACATTTGACAACAATAAATATTTCTACCCTCTTGCAGTAGTAGTTAACAAACATTTCTTCAAAGGTGAATAGGTATTGAAGAATACAATTTGTGTAATGGCTGGTAAGATTCTATGCTTTGAAAGAATTGTATGATTTAGAGCTACCTGCAATTAAAGCACAGAACTTTCATATTAAAAAAAACAAAAACCAAACAACAAACCCAGTAAACAGATTTGTGTTGATTTGAAGGCTCAGCTTATATGTTAAAATAAATAAAAATCATACGGCTTGCATTTCTGTGCTTTGATCTATAAAGAAAAATTTTCTCTCAGGTTGTTAATAGGCATGCATTGCTTCTGAATCCACTAAAACAGCATGGAACAGGCCCACAGGGAACTGGTAATGGTTTAGATGGAAAATTAGACCCAGGGGATAACAACTGTTGACTTCTTGTGTCCTGAGAGGAGCTATCCAGGAGGCAGTGGTTCTGAAAAGGCCATTACTCTGTGACCAACTGTGCCTGCGAAGACTTCTGAGGTGAAACGTCCCACGTCAGGCAGCCCCTTCAGCACTGCTGTCCTTTCTCTCTGATGGAGGTTCTTTGCCACCACTGTGCCAGCTGTGGACTTGTGTCCACCTGCTTGGTTGTATGAATGCCTATCTTGCCACATGGTAGCACAAGCATAGGATTCCCAGCCTGTCCTCCACAGGAACTGCCACTCCTTCATCTGCCAGAGTCTGATGCTGAACAGGTGACAGTGGACCCTCTAGACTGAGAGTAGGAAGGAAGACCTGGTAATCTAAAGATCAGCTCTTGAAAACTCCGATGGATCACTGTTCTGTCCTGTGGTCCACGAGGTTGCCGTGACCTGGGGGCTGCTTGGCACATAGTATGCAAGGACCCACAGGCCTCCTCTGCTAGTGAACACTGACTCTCAGGTGGATTCTTCTCAATGTCCAATCCGAAACATGTGAGGCTGTTCTGAACGTAGGCTGGCTGCACATTTCCTTTCTTGACATTTCCCTCTGTGCTCAGTGCCCTAAGTACAGAGACAGCATCTGAGGGGTGAGTTTCCAGACGCGGGCATGCTTCACAGGCATGCTTATGTGAGATGTTCCGCTGACCACACTGCTCGGTACAGCACAGCAACATGAGGTGGTGGATAGTGCAAGCCAGAACAACAGTGGGTCCCCTTCAGCATAGTTCTCTTTTCTCCAGTGCAGGAAATGGGTTTTCTGTAAGTATGTGGCTGTGACATATGGGTTGTTAGCTGCCATCTCATAGGACCTCATATACAACAAAAATGGATTATTATGATCCCACAGGGTTTTCACTGGTTGATTTTCAGAAGTCACTCTCCAGGCCTTTCTTACTTGACTCTCAATCCAAAGCTCCATTGAAACCTAGTGATCATTTTAGCAACATTCAAGTCTCTATTGGTGGCCCAGTGACAAGAAGCTGTGCTGCAATACCAAAGGTATGCGTTGTGAATCCACCAGCTGCTCCCCAAGAGAAGGATGGGCAATCTCCTCCCATGTGAATACTGCCTCTGAAAACCCACCAGAGGGTCAGCTATGGGTCCATTCTGACTTGACAGTACACAACAGCATCAGACCACCAGTTCAGAATTGGGAAAATGAAGAACAGAGTGTAGAGGAAAAGTTCTAGGTAGGATGTCATTAATACATAGTAGAGTATGGTACTTAACTTTAAACTTTAACTTTTCTGATTCTGTAGAGAATGCACCAAACTAATGCCCTTCATATCATTGTTAACATGAAGGGGGAGGTAGAATAATTGGAGCCCATTCTACCTCCACCTGCCTTCTGATGGGGAAACGTGAGTGGTGTTTCCTGTTTGGGCTCCTGTAGTCTCTGGCCAGTGGGCAGAGGATGCCTTATGAACCTGAAGCAGTGGCCTGCAAGCATCAGTTTGGAGTGTGGCCAGCCCCCACTGCCCTACAGAACAGAAGCAGGATCCCTCAGAGAGCTGAAGACGATGCAGGTCAGGACAGTGTGGTCACTCAAGGCCTGACACTTGGACTCTTTAGTTTGAGGTAACCCACCACCAGGGTGTCTTTTCTAGCTCCTGCCAACTGTCCATTTCCGAGGCTGTTAGACTGCCCATCTTTCTCACTTGGAGCAGCTGGTAGACTTGAACTGCTGATCTTCTGGTTACCAATCCAAGACATTGTGCAAGTTGGAGATTGATATTAAGAGCCATTGAGTCAGTTCCAACTCACAGTGACCTGTGTATGGCAGAACAAAGCCCTGTACCACCTTCACAATCTGCTATGCCTAAGTCCACAGTTGCAGTCACTGTCTAAGTCCATCTGACTAAAGGTCTTCATCTCCTCTTCTGACCCACCACTTTTTCAAGTCTTTTCTTGGGACTGGCCACTCCTGACAGTGAAGAGGTAAAGTGAAAGTGAGTTGTAGAGCATGTTCTTTCAGGGTATTGGATATATCTGTCCATTGCCTTCTTGCCTGCATAACTTCTACTGAGATATCTGAGCTTATTCTCATTCTCCTTTTTAAGTAGCTCTTCATTTTCCCTGAATTGCTTTTAGTATCCTTTCTTTGTCTTTAATTTTGGAAAATTTTATTATGATATGTCTTGATGTTTTTCTTTTTGGATCTGTTCTGTTTGAGGTTTACTCAGTTTTTTAAAATGCATGTTGTCATTTTTCATGTTTGGGAAATTTGCTTTCAGCAGATATTCAATGATTCCCTCTCTGTATCTGTGGATCTCTTCCTATTCTGGAATTACGATCACACATACATTAATCCTCTTGATGGTGTCCCACATAATTCTTAAGCTTTGTTTATTGTCCTTCTTTTGTCTGATTGCTCCCTCTGACAGGTTAGTACTGAGAAACTTGTACTCCTCACTGAGTCTGTGTGCCAGTTTTTATTTTTGTTTTTCAATCCTCTTGTCCTTTTGAAGTGTTATCTATTTCTGAAATTTTAGTCATAATATTCAGAATTCTTTCTTGTACAGTGATTCTGTCTCTTCCCTCCATCTTTTGATGTTTTCTGGGTAATTCAATACATTGCCCATAGCATCCTTCAGCATTGTGACATGAGGCCTAAATTTGTTTTTCTGTTCTTTCAGCTTGAGAAATGCAGAGCAAGTTCTTCCCTTTTTATTCTCCAATTCCAGCTCTCTGCACATTCCATTATAATACTTTGCTTTGTCCACCCAAGCTGCCCTTTGAAACTGTCTGTTCAGCTTTTACTTCAACATGTTTTCCTTTAGATTTGGCTTCCTGACATTCCAGTGCAATCTTTAGTCTCTTTTGACATCCATTTAGGTTTTTTCTTTTCTCCTCTGTTTTTGTAATTAACACCCTTGATACAAGCATAAGGAGACACATTGTAATGGGAAAATCTGCAGTTAGGGACCTTTCCAAATTATTGAAGAATAATGATGTCAGTTTGAGGACTAAGATGCATCTGATTCAGGGCATGAATCTTTCCAGTTAATAGCTATGCATCTGAGAGCTGGACTGTGAATAGGATGACGGAAAAAGAATGAATGCTTTTTAGCTGTGGTGTTGGAGAGCAGCGCTGAATATTCCGTGGATGGCCAAGAAAACAAATAGATATGTCTTGGAGAGGGTGCCGCCGGAGCTCTTTGGAGGCAAGAATGATGAGGCTTTACCTAACGTACTTTGGACATATTGCTAGGAGGTGTTATTCCTTGGAGAAAGACATGATATTGGGAAGGGTGGAGAGAAGGTGAAGGAGAGGAAGACCCTCATCCAGGTAGATTGACAAGATGACTGCTGTAGTGGGCTCTTGTGTGTCAGGAAGTGTGAGAATATCACAGAACAGGACTGGTTTCAGATCTTTTGTTGATAGGGTCGTTATGAGTCATACTCGACATGAGGGCACCTAACAACAATATTCAGAATTCAGTATCCTAGGTGATTTTAATGGCTTCTAATTTTCCACTGTTTTTGTCAGTTCATTCTTCCATGGGTTTTAAAAAAAATTCTATTTTCTGTATTTTTCTCAATCTGTAGAAGAAACTTAACCATTATTTTGAGCTTCCTTCCAGGACATTCTAGTAGCCTTCTCAAAGGTTTTCAGAATATTTTGGTGACTTCTTACTGCCATTTTATCTTGAATTTGGGGTGGTTTTACGTTATCTGTTGCCTCTGAGACAATGTAGTATGCTTGTCTTTATTTTGTTTATTAAGAAATTAGGAACTTTCTTTACTTTTTTATTGTTCTGCATACAATAATTTGTTATGTTTCATTTAGGAATACTATGTTTTGTATAATTTTTCATTTACATTGTGTTTCATATAATTATACATGTTGTTGCTTGTCTTTAT